CTTGAGCCACCGCGCCCGGCCCGAGTTGTTTTCTTTAAGAATATGGCGAAAAACACATTTCCAGTAATTTTGATTGTTTCAAGAAGACTGTGTCAAAACTTTTCCCCCTCAATTTGGGAGAAACATTTTTCTATCTATTCATACTTACATACTGTTGAATTACATAATAGCCATAAATTACAATACACTTACACATTCTTTTTCTTTCAGTGTTTTTTGCATTTGACAAAGACAATGATAACTACATAAATATTAAAGAATGGGTTAAAGGATTATCAGTGTTTCTTCGAGGAACTTTTGAAGAAAAGCTGAAGTGTAAGATTTCCATATGTTATTACTGCCTTAGTAATATATAGTCAGTTTTGTATTTAGTGAATGCTTAAATGTTTAAAAATACAAAATCAGTGTTCTTTATAGCAGCCTTGCAAAAATAGTTCATGATAGCTTAAAAAAAAAAAAAACAAGCAGATGAAATGGGTGGCATAATTGTAAGGTCATGGAATACTCCCCAGCCCCGGGGCTCTCAAACATTTCCTTCACTGGTTTCGGAATGCCCAAATGTTACCACCAGGTTGGGTCTTTGGCTTCCAACCCATGCTAAGAACAGCAGCTAAGGGTCAGGGCTTGTGCTAACTCTGATCAGCTGGCAAAGCTGAATTTCTAAGGCTGCCTCTGAGGAAACATGTATTATGTAGGGGTAATTCTTTTGTCTTTTCTTTGACATTTATGAATTTTTTAGTTTCTCTGTGTTGTCCTTTTTTTCTCCCACTCTAATTTTTCATGAGATAAGATAACTTTTAAATATAGTTTCCAGTTGGGTACAGTGGCTCACTCCTGTAATCCCAGCACTTTGGGAGGCCTGGGTCAATGGATCACTTGAGGTCAGGAGTTCGAGACCAGCCTTGCCAACATGGTGAAACCCCATCTCTATAGAAAATACAAAAAGAAGGCCGGGCGCGGTGGCTCAAGCCTGTAATCCCAGCACTTTGGGAGGCCGAGGCGGGTGGATCACGAGGTCAAGAGATCAAGACCATCCTGGTCAACATGGTGAAACCCCGTCTCTACTAAAAATACAAAAAATTAGCCGGGCATGGTGGTGCGTGCCTGTAATCCCAGCTACTCAGGAGGCTGAGGCAGGAGAATTGCCTGAACCCAGGAGGCGGAGGTTGCGGTGAGCCGAGATCGTGCCATTGCACTCCAGCCTGGGTAACAAGAGCGAAACTCCGTCCCAAAAAAAAAAAAAAAAAAAAGAAAATACAAAAAGAAGCTGGGCATGGTTGAACATCCCTATAATCGCAGCTATTAGGGAGGCTGAGGCAGGAGAATAGCTTGAACCCAGGAAGCAGAGGTTGCAGTGAGCCAAGATCATACCAGTGCATTCCAGACTGGGCGACAGAGTGAGACTCTGTTTCAAAAAATAATGAAAATAGATAAATAAATAAATAAAGTTTCCACTTAGGTTTACTGCAGTGTTTTATACAAAAGTCTCACTGAAGAGTGAAAAGTTGTTTTCTGAATGTAAATTCTTATGGTAATGCTAATATTTGGTGAAAATGGTCGTGACACTGAATGCAGCTGTACATGGTTGCCTCCCGTTAGCAAAAAAAATTTCTATAATCTTAGTTCCTAAAAATGTTTCATATACATTTAAAGATATGTTAATTTTGAGAAAATACTACTTTCTGGTCAGGTTGTATTGCAAACTCATATGTATGCTATAGATTGAAGAAATTCAACAGAAAGACCCAACTAATCTGATACTCTCGAGTTTTATTCCTACTTTTGCGAAACCATTTAATTAGAATTACAGACTCCACAAAAACTCCTTCACTGTGAGGCTCCCTTATTCACAAATGACCTGAGTAAGATCATTTGTGGGATGAGTGAGTGAAGTTTGGTACTTACAAAAATCTAAGTCATGGAAAGTATTCTCCAGGAAGAGGTTATTTGATAATTTTGGATAGTGCAGATGGGCAGATCCCAAGGACATTACTGATTCACCATCCAAGTATATCCAGAAATGTTCTTCGCCAGGGATATAGTGAAGTGTGTACTTCGTTTTTGCACTCTATGTAAAAAGAGAATCATAATATTGATATAGATACACACATTTATACATGTATGTGTATATATGTTTGCATGATCAAAGGTTTAAAAACTTTATCTCAAAGCTTCTTGATTGCAGCTTCATATCATTTTTAAACCTTCAATATAAATATCCAGAAATTATTTTTTAATTTTCACATCCCAAGGAATATTTAATCTGATAGGAAAAAAATGTAGTAAAGAGTACTTTATTCTAAAATATCTCTACCATATAATGGATTAAATTAGTAATTGTATGGAATATAAGTTGTTTTTATCTTTTAGTTTTATAAATTGAAATAACTAAAGAGAAGACTAACGACACTTTAACTGCTGTTATCTAAATCTTTTAACTTCTTTTGCTTTAAAAAGTCTATTTTGAAGTTTATTTGAATGGAGATGGTTACATTTCTCAAGAGCAAATATTTGACATGTTGAAGAACAGTCTACACCAACAGTCTTCTGAAGAAGATACTGATGAAGTAATAAAAGAACTGGTAGATATAACACTGAAGAAAATGGTAAGAAAACTGCAATGAATTATATTCAATCAAACAGATATTAGATAAAGCTAAGGAAATGATTTCTTTTCTTCCATAATGAATGCATCCTTTATGAGTACAGGAGTTTTTGTTTGTTCTCTGACCTACCTATTGCCTAGAACAATGCCTGGCTGATAGTGGTGCTCAATAAATATTTGTAGAATAGCTGGGCACTAAATGAATCACTATACAAAATGGATATTTATTTTATTATTTATAAAAATTTTAGTATCAGTAAAACCTTATTAGTTTCAGGGGAGACCAGATGCAGTGCATCCATGTACAATTGAATGCTACTCTGTTTTGTCTTTATGACCTAACTCCTCCAATCCATCTAAATATTCATTATAATACAATAACATAATAATAAAAATAGTTGACGCCTATAGAGTGCTTTCTAAATGTGAGGCCCTTCAGGAAGCTTTAATGTGTGAAACTCATTTTATATTTTATTTTATTTTATTTTATTTTGAGACAGAGTCTTACTCTGTCACCTAGGCTGGATCTCAATGGTGTGATCTCAGCTCACTGCAACCTCCGCTTCCTGAGTTCAACTGATTCTTCTGCCTCAGTCTCCTGAGTAACTTAGATTACAGGCATGTGCCACCACACCTGGCTAATTTTTGTATTTTTAGTAGAGACGGGGTTTCACCATGTTGTCCAGGCTGGTCTCAAACTCCTGACCTTATGATCTGCCCACCTCAGCCTCCCAAAATGCTGGGATTGCAGGTGTGAGCCACCGCACCTGGCCATGAATTCATTGTATCCTCATCACAAACTTATTGTCATGGGATTCTTGGGGTATCATTTTGCCAGCCAGAAACTTCTGTGGCTAGTGGCACCTTTGTCTAAGTTTTACTCGGGCCCACTGGACTCATTCCACTGACTCAGCCTGGCAGGCTGTGCCTGGCTTATGCTACTGGCCTAGATCCCATACCTGCCAAGGGTGAGTCAGGCAAAGGGTGTGTGAGTGAGTGATCATGGGGTCCAGCCACTGCACACAGCCAGGCACACTGGCTGTGGCGGGGTGGGCAGCTCCAGGTGCCAGCACAGGCACTATCTCTCTGTGAGGCTACAGCTGGACCAGGTATACTACAAGCAGCTTCCAAAGTTGGCACCAGGGAATGTGGTAGTGGCCAGAAGCTTGGAGATGCCAGGAACTGCAGATCCCCAAAGAGGGTGTCACATCCCTGGCTTGGGGAGCTCCTAGGTCTGGGCTCTCTGAAGAGCCGCAGCTCTTCTCTCCTTCTTTCTTCTCTCCTTGTCACCCATAACATGGTGAGCAAGGAGCATGTTTCAACCCTGTTTATAGCTCTTTTAGCCCCACCATTCAGCACATCCCAAGTTTTTGTCCTGCATCCAAGAAGAATGAGGTACGTGAACAAGTGGAGGGTAAGCAAGGCAAAGAGGAGTTTTACTGAGTAACAGAACAGCTCAGAGGAGACCTGCAGTGGGTAGCTCCTCTCCACAGGCAAGGTGTACCATTGAGTGGAGTGTTCAGCTCTCCGCAGAGGAGAGACCCTGAATTGAGTAGCTCCTCTCCACAAGCAGGTCATCTCCTTGTCTCCTTGAGTCTGGCTGAGTCTGGGGGTTTTTATGAGCATCAGAGGGGAAGAAGTGTGTGCTGATTGGTCCAATGTTAGTTATGAGCAGCCCAGAAAAACCACCGTAAGTTCCCACTCTGGTCCAGGCCTTCCCCAGCTTGAAGATGGGGCTTAATTGGGGACCTGCCCCATTAGCCCCAGAGCCTGTCTGCCTCCTGCCGCTGTTCATGGCGCCCAGGTTGTTTGTGCCAAGGGGTGCCTACAAGCCAGCGCTGAGCTGCCTTCAGCACCCTCTCAGCCTCCCTCCAATGCTAGTGTCCAAAGTCCAGAGGGGCCAAGTCAGCAGGGAGAGTCCAGGAAGTGGCAGCAGACACTGACAAGCCTGCAGAGTAGGCACCGGGAGCAGGCACCTCCAAGCCTGTGGAGGGAAGGGGGCCCTTCCCAGTCCCCAGGAGTGCAGAGATGCCTGGATCTGCAGCTGTGGCTTGGGTGGCTACAGCTGTGCCCAGGAGGGTGGGGCTCCTGCCTGCTACGTGGAGTGCATAGCCCCAGCCACGCCTCCTTGCTGCAGTTGGCACCTTTGCAGTGGCTGCTCCAGAGGGACCCCTGTTGCCATTACTATGAGGTAGAAACTATTATCTCCATTTTGCAAATGAGAAAACTGAAATACAGAAAGCTTTACCCAAGGTAACCCTAGAAAATGAGGTGCATAATTCATCTCTCAATAAAACCCAAGGTAATTCTTGGCTGAGTGCAGTGGCTCATGCCTTTCATTCCCAGCACTTTGGAAGGCTGAGATGGGCAGACCACTTGAGGTTAGGAGTTCAAGACCAGCCTGGCCAACATGGTGAAACCCCATCTCTACTGAAAATATAAAAATTAGCCAGGCGTGGTGGTGTGCACCTGTAATCCCAGCTTGAACCCAGGAAATGGAGGTTGCAATGAGCTGGGATCATGCTACTGCACTCCAGACTGGGTGATGGAATGAGACCCTGTCTCAAAAAAAA